TTAATATATTAAAATATTACAAACTATGGCGAAAAAAACGTTGATTCGAAGAAATAATTAATATGAATCATATATCCACGGTAGATCATTCTCGTGTTCGTAACATTTTGAAAATTTGACTCGATTAGTTTTTTCTTTTTATATAACAATTAATATTATGCTGATATCGATACTTGAAATAAATAACGTTTAAGAGTTGCGTTTTTAGTGTCACATCTCTTGTAACATCTCACCGATGTTGGGGACGATGCACCTTCAAGGTATGGGTGCAAATTAATATTTATTATTATATATTTTTTTACGAGAAATTTAGATTAATATAAATAATTTTTAAAGCTTGTATTATATATCGAATAGAAAGATTTAAATTTTTGAAACGTACATTTTTATCAGTATCATAAGAATATTATAAATATTATATAAAAAAGAGATAGTTATTATAAAAGAATCAAAAAGAAAAAATTTTTCACTGATTTTTACTTAATTATTAAAGAGAAGTTTCGTTTTGCTTCGTTATCTAATTATTAATTTGTTGCATTCTTCGATTTTTTGAATGCAAATTGCTAAAGTGCTAGTGGACATTATATAAGACGAAATGTATGAAACTTAGAATATGTCTACTATTATTTCTTATAACTATTTACAAAATTCATTAACCAAAATTTATCGAAGAGAAACAATACAATACAAAGTGATGAAAAAGGCACAATATTTGCACTTGTTAATAAATTTTTTAATTGTGTTCAATGAAAAATGCAATGCACTTATTGCCAAAAATATTGTAACCCTTTATGGACGAAGGCCGTGATATTTCAGGCAGTGATTATCATCATCATGTCTTTGAATATTTCGTGCACGACTTTCCTCGAACAAAATATATATATATATTATATATATTTATATATATTTTTTAAAAGCACGCTAACGATTTATTAACCCTTTGCATGGTCAAACTTTTTTTCACGTTAGTNTAATTTAATTGCCATTTAATCTTAGATTATTTAAGAAATGACATTATGCAAAGGATTAACAGAACAAATTTTTAGCATTTATACAATTAGTCGCAATAGAATAAAACATTCCAATTTTATATTTTAATTTTCGAAAACTATCTTTGCTTGTAAAAAGATTTTAATTGTCCAGTTGCATCCTGCTTCATTAAATGCAATTTTCTTAAAAATGCGTTCTACATATAATTACAAATTAAGAAAATTTTGCATAATTTTTTTTATCCTGTAATTGATAAAAATTGGTCTCAAATTTGGCTTCGAGGGTGCATCATCCCCGCAATCAGTATTTGTGTTTATTCTTTTTTTTTTGTTTTCCATTTTTGTAAAGAGATAGCTCGCTTCTTCAATTATCTCGAATATACACGCACATGAACACATACACGCACGCATGCATACACGCTATAAGAGCGCGTTATAAGAGGAAGAAAAGAAAACGCCACGCTTAAAAGATAATTTTTCCCTTTTGTTTCTTTTTTCTTTTCTTTTAAATGAAAAAAGAAAGAGGGGGGAAAACCAAAGGAAGGATAAATTGTCGGATCACGATTATTTAAGGAAAAAATGCCTAAAATCGTCAATTGAAATTTCGAGTTGGCATCATTTTTCAGTTTTCCGACTCGATTCTTCATTCTCATTACTCTTTTTTTCTTTTTTTTTCTTATTTTGCCATTTCTCTCGCATAGCATTTGCTTTGCGCGTATCTTCTATACACCAACTACGCCAAACTTGAGTGGGCCAATCGATAAAAGAATAAAAAAAGAAAAAAAAAAAATAAAAAAAAAACAACAAAAAAGTGGAAAAATAAAAAAAAAACTGTGTACAAAGATAAGATAAAATATGACTTAAAATTTTAAAAAAAAGTGAAATGAAATTGGAAAAAGCTAATGATGATCGACAATGCATTTAAAATATGTAAAAAGTAAAACTAATTTAAAAAAAAAAAGAAAAAAGAAAAAAAACACAAGGGAGAAGAGTAAAAAATGAAAAAATCAGCCCGCTCGAGGCTGATCTTGGTCGATTAATAATCAGGATACAAATTGATAGTGTTGTTTTTTTTTCTCTGGTAATAATAGTACTAATAGTACTACTACTACTACTAATAATAATAATAATAATAATAATAAAAATAATAATAATAGTAATAATAATAAAAATAATGATAATGATGATGATGATGATGATGATGATGATGATAATGATGACGACGACGACGACGACGACGACGACGAC